GCCTATGTTGAAAAATAATACAATATTAAAATTCCATGAAACTATCGTGAGAAGCAGTAGGAGCCGTGAATGTGTCAGTCTTAATTTTTAATACGGTAGGTATCGATAAATGTAACCCATACAAACAAAAGCTCTTTTGGGGTCATCCATAATTTGTAAAAGCGAAAAGGGGCCCTGAGAGAAAAAAGTTTAAGAAATACTATTTTAAATCATTATTTTATCTAGCCCAGAAATTTCAGGGCTACTAACTGCAGCAACTCTGCAATGATTCTGGCCAAAAAATCCTGAGGAAAACCAGATGAGCAAAAAGTATTAGGAGAAAAGAAAAAGATTATTTTAGGTGTTGTTTTTACTGCTTTGTTAATATTTAAGCAATGTTGGCTTAAAATCTCTTCATGTTTGAACTGCTTTTTCTGAGTTTTTTGGAATCATGTAACCAAAAACACAAAGCAAGGATCTGTTTTCTCCCTAGTCACCTCTTCTCACTTCAAAATGAAGTGGTTGCTCTTCATTTCCTCTCTCTAAAGTAACCTTGGAGAACAGGTGAGCAAAGCACTCGTGATCAGGGTGAGGCTGAATAGGGCAAAGATTGGGGTGCAAGGGGCACCTTAGCGAGTCTGCTGGCGCTGGCATCACCTACTTATGCAATTGTCTTTTGGAGTAAAGCCAATAGGTTGGTTATCCAAGGAGAAGACTGATTTCTTTTTATCAATATATCTGCTTCCTCCTTTCTCTGCCAGGGACTGCTTCATGCACACCTAATCAGCCAAGAAGTAGGCAGGATCTTTGGTCACAGCTCCTTGAGGCTCTGCCCTCAAAATATCTGTCAAAATGGATTTGTTGTACAGCAATGGTCACTCAAGGCACAATGGTCACCTGAGGGGAGGCAGTGGGGCCTAACGCCTTCCAAGCACATCTTATCACATCTGTCCTCAAGTCCATAGGTTTTCAGACTTTGTTTTCGGGGAAATTCTGGGATTCCTTAGAAGCTTATCAGTTTGAAAAGAACAGTGATGTGCAGTCCAACATTTTTCAGAAGAAAAAAATAAGGCATTTTGTGGATGTAGAACACACCTCAAAGTTGAAGTGCCCTATAATTTAGATACTGAATATAGAGACTGTAGGTTTACCTTTGTTTTCTGCTAGACTCTCAAGGTCATTCAACTTAGGGTTGATATAAAAAGAAATAGGCACATTTAAAGAATTTTGAGCCCATTAATTTTGAAGGTCAGAATTGAACAGTTGACATTTTGTCCATAGAAAAATCCATTCCTGATTAATTTAAGAAACAGCATAGTTTTTGTTGCTTCTGCTGTTAAACAACTGTTGACATCCTTGTTGATTTATTTAGAGATCCAACAGTAGATCCAAATCTATCTTCTACTGAACCCTGCCTTAGAATCAGAATCTTCTACATTATTGCCTTTTTGACCAACAAAGCAATGTGAAAGGGATTCCCTATCAGTATAATTTTTGAAAACCTTTATTTATTCCAGAAGTATCTTTGTCTTACTTTTCTTAAATGGAGAATTAGTGGCTGAGAGAAATGTACAATAAGTAGGACAGTACCCATTTTGGAAAATTCACTGTTCTTGGAAACAGGCTCTGAGATAAACACTCAAGAGTCTTTCCTCATTGGCATCTAAACATGATGTAAACATGCTCCAGCAGTCTCTTCTTTCTCCCATGTCCTGACTTATGATGTTGACTTTGTTCTGTCCCCAGCCTGGTGAGACAGGCTTAAGCTATCATTAGCTGTACCTGTATTAATGTAGTGTTTCCCACTCGTTCCTACCCTGTCTAAACTATAAAAAACTAGTTAGTATATACAGTATCAGATGAATCTAGGTAAAGGACTTCCTGGCCATAACAGTCACCTGCTTTGTGGAAAATCACCAGAGTGCATGCCAGTTTGTCCAGGGAAGTGCCACCCCATCCAGACTAAAGATGGAAATTCCATGGTACTGGAAGAAACAGGAATATGCAACCACTTGGCCTTGTCAGGATTGAGTTTAAGCCTGTTCTTCCCTATCCAGACCCCACCAGCCTCCAAGTGCTGGGACAAGACCTTGACAACATTGCTTGGACAACCTGGGATCAAGATGTACAACTGGGTATCATCAGCATATTGAGAATACTTGACACTGTGTTGATGGATGACCTTCCCAAAGGTTTCAGGTAGATGTTAAAAGGAGAGGTAAGAGCATTGAGCCTTATGGCGCCCCACAATCCCAGGCCATAAGCTAGACCTCTCTACCCCATGAACACCAGCTGGGACCGGCTACATAGGGAGGAAGGGAACAACTGCAACATTATGCCTCCTACACCTGATCTCTCAGTCAATCCAGAAGGATACCATGACTATGGTACTGAAAGTTGCTGAGATATCAAGAAGAACCAGGACAGTTGTACCACCTCCATCCCAGCTCTGTCAATGGTAATCAGCAAGTATGATCAATGCCATCAATGCTATGTCCTCACCTGAAACAGGTCCAGATAATCCACTTCTTCCAGGGCCCTTGAAGCTGCAATCTGATCTCCTTCTCAAACCTTCCCCAGAAGGATAAGGTTGGAGACTGGACAAAAATTGTCCAGAACTGTTGGATTCAGCAATGGCCTTGTTCAAGGCAGAAACACCCCATCACTCAAGGAAGAAGTCACTCAGTCACCACTTCATGGACCCAACTACATGTCATGACCCAGGAACCCTTCACTAACCAAGACTGAATCTAGCAGACAGGTGGCTGGGTAAACACCCCCAAGGATCCTGACCACTTCCTATGAGTTATAGGGTCAAGCACTTCTCACATAACAGATAGTAGCTTAGTCAACTCACAAGGACTCGCCCAGTCGGAACATGAAACAGATCCAAGCAACTTTATTTGGCTATATTTTTTTCCAGTGTCCCTGAAGACCTTTCTCCCCAGCAAAGAATGGATCACTTTAAATTGGGCCCCTGGCTGGATGTAAAAATAAAATGAAGAAAAATAAGAACCTTTTGATGCTCTTATCACCACAATGGGGGTTTACACATTTGGTTGGATTAACTCTTTGTCTTTCTCCAGTGGTGCCCTAGAGTCTCTTCCCTTTTTTCATAAGTGGAGGCACTTTTACAGGTTTCCCTGTGCAGTTTTCCCACTAGAGGCTGCATCTCTAGTTTTTCTAACTGTACTAGAAACTGTGATGTAATCCTCTGCCTTTCTCAAAATTGCCAGTTCTTGCCCACACATATATAAGCAGGAGAGTGACAGATGCTGTGATCAAGAGAGTATCTCTTGCAACTAGCTTCCGTTCAGAAAATGTCAGGCAGCTACTCTGGATTATCAGACCAAGGTATGGAACATTTTTGGTGAGCACAGAAAAGACAAGTATAAAAGGCCAAAATGATGATAAATGATAGCTAGGTAAGTACTGAGGAGAGGAGAGGAGAGGAAAGGAAGAATCTGATTACTACCCATGTTTTTACTATTGCTACTCCTACTGCTACTAACAGTAGTAATAATAATTTCCTTTTGTCATACTTAGCATTACAATCTGGTAACTGTTTTAGGAGAAGCAAAAGTTGATGTATTTGCAAAACAGTTTGTGCACAAGCTTCAACATTGGCTGTGATTCCTAAGCTGAGCTCAAGTTTAGGGCATCTCATTCCTCAATTCTACCCCTGCCTTTCTGAGCTACTATTCTGCAGTTGTGACTTCTGTGGTTGGCATTAGATTTCTTCTGAAAAACAGGGTAGTTCTTGCATGTTTCTTGCATCTTTATTCCTGGTTTACCAATTCATCCTGCGGAGATTTTAAAGAACAAAATATAGTGATTTTTGACACAGTGATGTAGAACAACATTTTGGAAACCCAGAATTATTAAAGAGATCATGCCTCTGTTTCCACAACATGCTTGACCCAGTTAACCAATTACCTGGTCAGATCTCTTGATCTGGCTCTGACAGCACACAATCATGCTAACAGGGGAATGGGAAACTGCACTACTCATTTTCTCCAGAAAATAACTGATATTCCCCACCTTCCCAGCTTTGCCTCCATCCACGATGCTCAGCATCACTCCTCTTCCCCAACTTGGCTGCAGGAAGCAGAAGGCAAACAACTGAAGAAATGGCAGAAAACTCACATGGAACTGATTGCATATGGAGCTAGGCTCCCTGCAGACCATCACCCTGTAGCGGAGACACTGTCTTTTTACTCACATCATCAACATGACAAGGAGAGTGAAGGGCAGATTGAACATACGAACATAATCGTATGTGCAAAGATAATGCCAGAGCAGGGTTTGGGAAGGATTTGTAACCAGGCCACATCAGGAGAAATCAATGCACTGCCTGAAATAAGGAAGCCTCATACTGTTTATTTTCTTCCTCCGCTCAACCATTGTGGATGGTTCCTCCTTAAGACGCACCAGTTTCTTTATTCAAGCATTGGATGACACTGGTAATATTTTATATGGTGATATGCAAAACCAGGTCATCATAGAGCCAGCCCTACCATCAGGAAGCAGGTGCAAGGGCATAGAAATTGGTGTCTCAATGTTGGAATATAAAATTACCCCAAGGGATCCTGCGGCTGCCTTGCAATGTGTTGGGGGATTGGGCCCATTCACCGTACAGGTGCATTAAATAGAGAGGACAAAGGCTGAGTATAAACCAGATTCCCTGTACAGTTTTGTGTTTTCCCAATAAGATCTCAGTATAGAAGGAAACTGCTGAGATCAATATGTCACGGTGATTAAAATCCAATTAATGAACAGGCTGTTGTTGTTTTCTTGAAGGAAGAGGGAGAGAAAATGATTCTTGAAAAGTAGGTAGAAGGTCACTGTGACATAGCCTAGCCAAAGACTTTGGACCTATCACCTCAGCACCCACTCAAATTAGAAAGGAAAGGGAGGATGGACAAAAGTTATTTAGATAATGGTTACCCAATTTGGCCCAGTTATGACTCCCTGATTTCTTTTACTTCTCTGCCCGCTGAGCTGACAGTCTGTCCCATTGGCGAGTTGGACAAGGGGAGGGATTTAATGAGCCTGATGGTATTTTTGTATTGTTGGAGTTTAAACTTTGCCACATAGTAGAAAGAGGTTTTGACTGGACAGAGGGACGTAAGAGGGGAGAAGAAAATACTGCACTCATCTTCACAGCAAGGAAAGCATTAGGACTGGAAACACTTGGCAAAACCAAATCAAGATTGGAGAACACTGACAAGGGGTAAGGTGGTATAATCTCGTTTCCCTCCAATTGAGCCCAACAAGGTCCATCTTTGGAAACAAGTGCAATACAAATAAGAGGGTGGAGGTCAGGACTGCATTTTGTGTGTGTGAAGAGAGACATGCACTAAGCAAGCGGTATATGGAGATAAGTCTGCTAATTAGAAGGCAATAGACAAGCAAACAAACTGTGTAGCTTTCAAAAATCTTCCTTAGATTAGAAGAACCCCAGACTGTACTTGCATTTCTGCAGTGTTTTTATTACATTTTTCAAGGCTGGGAATGTCTTCCAAACTACTTTCAGAGATGGGAATAGTTGCTTTGTGGTGTGGACTGGAAGAATAAATGTACAGAGACTGAACTCTAATTGCAGGATATCTATAGTGCCAAGAATGGATTAATTGGTATTTATTAATTAAAAGTATTTATAATTTGCTTTTCTGCACACAGTTTTCCTCAAAACATACATCTTTGTGCAAGTTTCTGGAGGTAGAGATAGATATATCATTGTCAATGTACAGGTTCATTTCTTTACACAGACACAAAAAAAATCTGTCTGATTATCTCAATAGTTTGGTCGAAAGTGTACTGTATGTACAAAGTGTGTTTCTCACTGAAGTTGGATCAGTTGTGGTAGCAGGAGGTAAAAAATGTCATGATGGTGGCCACAACCATGATCAAAGCCCCACTTCTTTTTTATGTGCATCGCGACGCGCGTAAAAAGAGGCAAGGCTTCGGTCACATGTTTATAGCCGCCACCTTGGCTTTTTAAAACTCCCTGTGGATACCCATGTTCCACTCCTACATGAAGATATGAAGAACTAAATCTGGGATGTTCTGCATGCGCTCCATCACTGTGTTATTTATTCCTTTATTGCATTTGCATATCACCAACTTATGATTTTATTTATTATGATTTTGCTTTTATTTTATTTAACAAATTTGTATACCACCCGACTCCCAGTGACTCTGGGCAGCTGATCACGAATTAACAATGAGAACATCTGTGTTAAGCAATAATCAGTAATAGACCAATAGAAACAATGATAGTAATAGCACAATAATACTGATAAAGCGATCCTTAAAGAAATAATGATAAATAATGGCAAGAATATAATAACACCTGAATTCTATATGGCCCTAGAGCGTAGGATTAGAAGAAAGGGCTAAAACTACAAGGAGGGAAGTTCAGGCTAGGCATCAGGAGGATCTTCCTGACTGTAGGAGCTGTCAGTCACTGGAAAAGACTGTCACCTGAAGTAGTAAGTTCTTCACTGGAGGTCTTCAGACAAAGGCTGGATGGCCATCTGTCAAACGGTACTCTAGTATCTTTGGTATCCCTTCCAACTCTACGATTCCAAATGCTCCATGTTAGCTTACTTCCAGAATAATGTAATGGAAGGATCAAACCTAAAGAAAGACAATTCTGCGGCTGCTTCAGCTCCCTTTACTTCATGAAAACAGGGTAGAGCCAAAAACTTCTTTTGGGACAAGTATATTGGCAGGCCTTTCGGGTTGGACATTCTTCATTGAGGAGTCCTTGGTGTTCTCTGAGCTTGGTTGTTTTCTTGCAAACGTTTCATTACCCACAGTTACGCACAGAACTCCACAGTTCAATCCTTCTCTTCTACAGGTATCCTTCACTGAAGATAAAGTAAGGTTCCAGTCCCCTTGATTATAAATAAAGAGGTGATTGAAAAAGGAACATGGGAATATGTCTTTGAACAAGTGACGTTAGATGTTCATTTTGATGGGTCTTATTTGCATGAACTGGTGGAGACTCTGCAGGGCTTCAGGCAAGACTTTTTCCCTGCCTAAGATGCTAGGTGCTGGATGTGCAGTCTTCTGCCTGCAAAAAATAAAAAACTAAAAAAAAAAATCAACCATCAAGTTTTAGCTCTCCAGTATTAATACTGTCCTTTTCTATGGGACAATAATACTGAAGTCACTGCATTTGTCTCTGAAAGCTTTCCAGAAGATTCTGTGTTTTTGCTGGGACTTTTGATCAAACTAAATGGATAAATGGATCATGTATATATTTGAGATCTGTGGGGCAGGCTTAAACTATTCTTTTATTTTACTTAGTAGCTGTTCCTTAAGGAAAGAAATGAGAGGAAGTAAAACACAGTCTCCTTTGAGCTGGGCTTAACTTCTGGTGACCTCACGGACACATCCATGTAGTTTTCTGGGCAGTATTATGGAAGGGGTTTGCTACTCCCCTGTTTGTTTGTTTTTTTTGGACTCCCCAGTCTAACCTACAGCCCTGGGATATCCTGGTAGCCTCTCATCCAAACCTAATCTGGCTTGTTTTTCAAGCCCAGACAAAGTTAAACCTATGCTCCCACCAGCTGTTTATTTTTCAAATCCAATCAACAATATGACTTATTAATGACTCATAGCTGCAATTCTCCATGCATTTACCTGGGAGTGAAGCCTATAGAACTCAGTGAACTTCTGGGCTATTTATTTATTTATTTGCCAGCATATATGCCCTGCCCAGTTCCAAAGATTCCAAATTCCTAACATCCAAATGAAGCTCCTAAAATGATAATTATAACATAAATATCACAACATCTATATATATAAAAAAAGGCCTGTATTTCTTAATCTACAAACATTTCGCTGCTGCTGCATTCCTGCAAGCCCTCAGATGAAAAGCACCATTAAAACATATAAAAGAAAAAAAAGCAGTAACGGGGTCACTTCTCAGGGGCAGGTCAGATTTTAGCATCCTGCAAACACTTTCTGAAAAGCCATGATTTAACAGCCCTTGGAAAACAAGGCAGGGAGGTGGTGTCTGGATATCTAAGGGCAAGCAACAATCATACCGAGGGAATAAACAAACAAGCTGTTGCAGGGAAGGGGGCATAATCAAGGTTTTTTTATGGGGTCTCTGCTGTCAGCCCCACTAGGTAGATGAGAAAATCAACTCCACAGGAAGACTAGAGCTTTTTTTTAATTTTTATTTTATTTTTATTTGGCTATAATAACAGAACCTTGTAAGTGCGATTGTGCTTTACCTCCCCTCCTTCTTATACTCCTGCAAATTAGGGAAGTGTCTGCCCGAGTAGCTTTCGAATATTATTTTGCTTCCCAGGACTTAAAGAATGTTTCAGCCCCCTTTGCCTAATAATGGCTCTTGCGTACTTCTGTCAAGGTCACCTCCTTTACTTTCTACACCTGCAGATGGAATTCCCTTGGGGCGGGGCCCATCAGGGATTGTCCAATTGTATTTCAAGTCCATGCGCTGCCCCAAAGGAACAGAAAATGAAAAAAGAATTGGATTGTACACCATTTGACTTATGTAATACAAGTAGTCCCCAGTTTAAGAACGAGTTCTGTTCCCAAGGTCTGTGCTTAAGTTGAATTTGTATGTAAGCCAGAACAGTATGATTGAATAATACTGTATAAATAGTATTATGTCATGAACTCAAACCATTGTGTATTTAACTCAAATTTTGCTACAATAAGTTCCATTCTTAACTATGGGTCGTCTTTAAACCAGGCATTCTTAACCTAGGGACTACCTGTAATGAAAGAGGCGGCAAACACTCTTACAGAAATGCACTTAAAAGATAGTATTTTAAGGAAGAAACATTATTAATTAAATAGAATTGGGGTGGGCATAGAGAGGAAATCTAAAAGCAAAGTAAAGATGACTTTGTGACTCTTTGGAAGAGCTTAGGAAAGGAGGAAGAGAAGAAAAAGGGGATGTAAACATTCTACATGAAAGAAGTGAATTTGCCAATGGACTCAGATCAGTAGAAAGCCACCTGTTTTGCTTTGATGTCTTCAGCTGCCACTTAACATGCAGAAAATGGCAGTTGAAACTCTTCACTACATGGAGGTAAGCCCATAATCCCTGCTGATTTTAGCATATCATGCTATTTCTAAAGGGGTGACGAGTGGCCTGTAGAACCCTTAGCAAACAGTTTAAGGAGGAAGATGGAAGAGGGGAAGCAGGTAGGTGGGAGAAGATTTGCTCAGGATTTCTTCATCACTCATGGGGCAAAAGTCATGTCTTTTTGATATCTGTCTCTGTTGGGCTGCCTAAGACACTAGTGAGGTCATGGTCAGAATTTTATAGGCTCCTAAGTGTCCACATTCCTGCAAGATCATGAAAATATGGACTGGTGGAGAAGCAAAACTGTAGAAACTGAGAAACATTTCTTTGAGAGCATGCAGATAACTTTGGGAATCCATCTGGAGACAAATGTGACGATTTCCACATCATCTGTTACAAATAAGCAAACCTTGAAATTCTGGTTAGTTTACCTCCCCCATCCATCCACCCACCCACCCACCCATCCAAAGACACTGCATTTCTACATCAGCCTTGCACTCTTTCACCTCTAACAGTGGTTGACTGGGCTTCTGGGACAGCAGAACACAAAAACATTTCAGCTAAACAGTGAACAGAGGTGCCAAAAGGTTGCAATCCAGCTTCTATTGGAAATGGGAAAGTTGTCCTTTAGGCTAAACTTGGAGTGCCATGTGCCTAGAGGCCCAGCTTGGGGGGCCAGTGAAAAAAAATCCAGGAGGCAGAGAACATAAAAGAGTGGGAAGAACAGAGATGTATTATCTGAAGAACAGACATGGCACGGGGTGGAAGAGAGGCTAGAGGAAAAAGGGCAGAGAAGAATTCGGGGAAATAATCTCATTTGAATCAACTGCTATCTGGGAGAAGTGGAGGGTGGGCTATTAGTTCTACTAGAAAACAAGATAAAATATGTTACATTTTTGAAATGAGGATGTTTCTCACTGAAGGAAACCAATGTACCATCTCTTCCAGCTGCACTGAGGGGATGTGCACCAGTGCGAGCTGCTAAATGCAAGTCCCAGTTTTGCTGCTAACGTTTTTAGATTTGGATCCAATTGTTCTTAAATATACCTCTCCTAAAAATGCCCCATGGATTTACTGAATAAGGGCCAAGTAGTTTTTCAGAAACACAAGCAAAAAAATTAAAAGCCTGTAACTTAGCACCAGTCATTGTATGCAAACAGTTCCCTGTTCAGCATTTCTGGAGAGACTTGGGGAAAAATCAGGAGTGGAAATCTTGGAAATCTGTGCAGTATAGATAATACTGGGTTAGACAAACAAATGCCTTGACCTGCTATAAGGAAGAATCCAGGCCTTTTACTTATTACCTTCCATAAACGTGCAATTGTGAAGAGGGTTTCGAAGACAGCAGCATCAGAAAAGGCTGTAACTCAGCCACAAGGAACCGGCTTTGCATAGAGTTGATCCCAAGTTCCAGGGTTTACTGGTAGAACCTGGTCTGAAATCCCAGAAGGCTATTTTAAATCAGCGTGGAGACTATTGTGCAGTAGAGGGATCAAATATCTAACTGGATTCTTCATTGAAAGCCACTTCTGAAGTTCTCAAATCCAAAATGCGTCCTAAAAGAATAGGAGTCTGAAATGTTTATGGGTATCTGAGAAGAGGATCAGAATTCACTGAGAATGAGAAATTAGCATCGTACCCAGCTTGTAAATGTCTCTGGAGCACCAGGGCGGCTGCATCAAGAAACAGATTGCTGAGCTAGGATGGTGCAAGCTGGTGAAAACTAGATAGGGATGTCCAACCATCCCCACTAGAATCTCAGCTTTGTATTCTGTTTAGCTCAAGATGCTGTCTGGTTTCACCAATGTTCTAGGTGAAAATGTGGCAAGATAGTTTGTATCTCGGTGCATTGTGTAAACCCAGGCAATTGGGTTAATTTGATAAACGGTGTTTCAGTTAAAGCA